AGCTTTGCTGGATAAGTTAATCTGGGTTGGAAGTTACTTGCTGTTACTGCTTGCATGACTTCATTCCAAGCTCTCCTACCCTTTAGAGTTTGTGTTGAGAAGTATGTTGTGATTCTATTTGGTTTACCTTTATATGTGATTTTTCATTTTTCTCTGGCTGCTTTTAAAATTCTGTTTTTTGGGGGAGTAATTTAATAAGGATATGCCTTGGTGAGCTTCCTTTGTCATAATAGTTGTTTGGTGTTCTAGTAGCATTGCTTACTTGTATTTTAACCTCTTTCTCATTTTTGGAAAATTTTCTTCTATGATTTCTGTAACATGTTGGTAAATCCACCTGTGCTATCTTCTAGTTTTCTCTAACTCCAATTAGCCTTAGATGGGTCTTCTAGTAGTTGCTAGAAAATTCTCTCTTATTCTCCTATTTCTTTTTGGGTTTTTTGATTTCTTCATTATAATTCACTATTTTATCTTCAATATTAGACATTCTGTCTTCATATCAGTTATTTCTGCAATTTGTTAATTCTATACAGTTTTTATTTCAAATATTCTGTATGACATTTTTTCAAGGATTTCATATCCTTATTGAATCTGCAATTCAAATTTTGAACTGTCCTGGTTAGCTCATCCAATTTTTTACCTATTTCCTCAAAATTCACCATGGGCATATTGAATGAAATTGCTGCGAACTTTTGGTTAATTTTCTCTTTGAATTCATCACCTTTTTTTCATTCTTTCTGTGAACTTTTCATAGAGATCTGTTACCTGGTATTTGTTTTCTTCTCACTTTTTGACCCTTTGCTTTGCCTTGGGAGTGTTGAATGAAATCCAGGTCTGTTTCCTTGCTTCCTCAGGTTTGTATGTGTATCTATGTATCTCTTTAATGCCCCCATCTTTTCTGCCTGCTTTTTGGCTTAGGATGGGGAGGATAGAGGTTTAAAACTAGAGGCCAAAGAAGTGGCTGTGAGTGAGCTAAGTATGCGAAATTAAAACCTGGGAGGAGGAATTTATGTGTTTAGAAAAAGAATAAAGAAATATTGAGGCAGTATTGCTTTGGGGGTTTGAGGTGAAGAAGCTACATAGGGAGCTGAGAGGAGGGAGAGAACCTAGACATCTATTAAATTAGAGACAATTGAATAAAACAATTGAATAAAACAATTGAATAAAAGTGAAAACCAAATAAACATTAAAAAACCATAAAAGAACATGACATAACTCTACACTAATAATTAAATCAACAAACACCCCCAAACCTCAAACCTATAAGATATCAATGAGAACACAGATTAAATATTTCAATGAGACAATGTATGTGATTCACATGTAGCTTCTTTGCCAGAAAGTCTGAGTGTTCACACCCCAATGATACCTCTGAATCTTCCATTTCAATACTGAAGCTAACTCACAATTAGGGCCAGGTTGCAGGGATTCCTATAGAGTTTGATCTACTCTAAGTTCTTGGATTAGGATTTCTTGCTGTCCCTCTCCCTGGGTGTGATGGTGGAATCAGCAGACAAATTCAGAGGCATGAAAATATCCATTGAGTCAGGAGTAACTCTATGGAATCAAATCAGCTATGGCATGAACATGCTAATAAGTTAAAGTGGTATCTCTCTGGGCAAGTTCAGAACATACCATGAGACCCACTTTTTGGGTCTCCCTCTATCTTAGAGATTAAATCCATAGATACAGTGTAAGCATTAATAGCCCAAGTATTGACCCACAGCTAACATGCACTAAATGTGGTATCTATGTCTCCTCTTATAGTAACAAAAATATTCAACATAAATTATATAGAATCAATTCTCTAAAGCACAGAGGGTTTGGCACAGGTAATGCTAAAGTTTGTTGTCATTGTTTGTTCCTTTTTAATTTTTTGATCTTCTGCATTGAGGTATGGAGAGGAGGAGATAGGAGGGGGCAGAAGATCTTAACAGTGGTAGAGGTTTGTTATATATTTAGATGGGATATCAGGGAAAACTGGGTATAAAATCAGTAGTGAGAAATAGGGATTAGAAAATATTCTATGTTGGGCTGGGGATTTAGCTCAGTGGTTACGCCGCCTGTCTCGAAAGCGCAGGGACCTGAGTTCGATCCCTGGTACCAAAAAAAAAAAAAAAAAAGAAAGAAAGAAAGAAAGTATTCTATGGTGAATTTAAATATTAGAGAAAAAATTTAAAGGCAGACAGATGAAGAAATGGGAGAAGAAAGAAAAGAAAACATAGGAATGATAAAAAACAGGAGAAAGAAGTCAGGTGAAAAAAAAACATGGATAAAATTAGAAGGAATAAAAAGGGACAAGAGAGAATTCCTTTACCTTCTATAAACTATATTGGAAGAAAAGGGCAAGAGGAAGAGAAACACACACCCACATTCACACATACTCTTAAAGGGGCAAATAATAGAATAAAAATGTGTGGATTTGGGGAGAATAAACTGAAAGAGGAAAACAGCAAAAAACAACAAATGAAGAACATTTTCTATTGTTCTTGACATGTAGTTCTTTTCTGCAGCCTAGGAATAAAAGTGGCAGGTGCTTGACCAAGGTCACTCACCAATTGTTTACTGTGGAAGGCCACTCTGGGAGCAGTATCCAGTGTTTTCCTTGTAGGTTCCAACTGCTGCTGATTCTTTTAGTCCTCAAGTGGTTCTCTCTTCCTTGTAGAATGTTCTACAATTGTCTCCAAACAGTATTCTTTGGGTTGGAATATTCAAAGCAGAATTCAGACATAGTCACCACATTGTTTTTGGTGAATCCATCTCTCTATTTTTGAAATATCACAGCATATGTTAATTTTGTCTTAGAATGCTATTTAAAAAATTTTAGTGAACACATAATTGCACATTTTATGGGGTATAGGGTAGCATTTTAAAATGTCTATATAATGTGTAATGGTTAGATCAAGGTGATTAGCATACCCATCATCTCAAATATTTCTTTATGCTGAGAACATTCAATGTCCTCTCTACAATCTGTTTTTAGATGCACAATTAGTTCTTTTCAACCGCAGTTATCCTACTAAGGTATGGAACATTAGAAGTCATTCTGCTCACTGCACTGATTCTCTGTACTTGTTAACTATCCTCTCTCCTCCTACCATCCACCAGATACTCAGGCTCTGGTAGCCATTATTCTACTTTTAATTTCTGCAGGATCAACTTTTTAGCTTCTGCATGTGAATAAAAACAAGCAGTATTTGTCTTTTTGTACTTGACTTATTTCACATAGCTCCATCTACCTCACTGAAAATAGAAGAATTTCATTCCTTTATGTGCCTGAGTAATATTCAATTGCATTTACACACCATATTTTCTTATTCACTCATCTATTTATGGACATCTAAGTTGATTCCATACCTTAGGCATTGTGAATAATGCTGCATTAAATATAAACATGGAGATGTCTCTTTGGCATACTCATTTCATTTCCTTTTGGTATACACTGTGACAGACAATCTTGTCTGTCATATTTATTGGCAAGAGAGATGGATAAGGGATTAGTAAAGCACATTTCTAGACTTGTCTGGGTGGGTAATGGGAGCATGAACTTGGTGACTACATGAGTGAGTTAGTTGACACAGCAAAAGGAAACATCCAGGCAACTCACAGAACCACAAAAAAGAATAAACTATTATTCTTTTCTATCAACATGTTTTGAGATGGTTTGTTAACAGAATAGATAACTGATAAAGTAGTTAAACAATGATACTGACTATAATTTAAAAATATTGATGGACAAAGAAGGGATGAGAATCAAGGACCTAACCATAAGGATACAAGTATGAATGTTATAGGCAATATTTATATTATATTAATGTACATCAATTTTACTATATGTTATATTAAAGTCTGATATACTATTGGAAAAACATTTGAAGTTAAGGTGGCTATTGAAGTGATTCTCTAGTATTCCAAAAATGTTAAGCTAATGTGATGATTTGCAATGGTGATATAACTTTGTGATTGCATCTTTTGGTTCACAAACCTATCATGGACATTCCACATTTGCAATTGTGAAAACAAGAAAATCTCCATCTATTTATCTACCTACCTATTTAAACATTATCTATCCAAAACTCTGCAATGGCTAACCCTTAGTAGGGATTTATGTGTGGGGGCATGTGTGTAGATACACACAGCCACAAGAACTTTATTAGCCAACCAATGATATAATAACAAATAAGGAAATATGATCTTATGCCTTTATGAAATTTTAACCTAGAATACCGAGGGACATAGACAAATAACTGGGTACAATGTGTAGAGGAGTACAGTTTGCATGGGAAGATATATAGGGGCATTAACCTCATATTTGGAAGAAATTTTCTAAATTAAGCAATGTCTTGGGTGAGACTTGAAAAATACACAAATGCTAAACAACCTGCCAAAGTCACAAGACGTGGAAATTGTAAAGAATAGAAATGAGATAATAAGCTGTGGTGCATAATACGTGTTTGAGGAGGAGTAAGGGATGTAGCCAAGGGTTAACACTGAAGAGAATGGGAACCCAAAAGCAGGCTGCATTAAATTAGGATATCAATCTAAAATTTAGAAGTAGGATTTCAGTTTAGGGCTAGCTGCAGAAACAGGAATAATATGGATTGAGGAATGAACAAGAAAATGTATTGAAAGGGTTCTCTAGGGGAACAGAATCAACAGAAAATCAGAAAATATACATGTAAACATGAAAGAGAATTTATTAGGTAAGCTTACAGGATCAGTGCCAGGGGCATCCACAATAGTCACCAGCATGCTGGAAAGCTGGAGGATCGAGTAGCTGTTCAGCACTAGAAGATGGAAGCCATGGAACAAGAGGGATTAAAGATGCAGCACTAGCCCAAGGTTGAAGGGCTAGGATCTTCCTGGAGAGAAGCTGGCATAAGCCTGTGTAGAAAGAAACTAAAGCGTGATGTCCACAGCAGTGGCAAAAGATGCAATCACTCAAGCAGAATGGAACTTCCAAAAGAATGCACTGATTTCTTTCCTTTTCCTTTTTATTTCAGATACAAGCCTATTGGTTGTTGTCACCCAAAAATGATATGGATCCCTTCACCAGTCAGTGTGGTGAACTTCATGCCAAATATCTTTGGAAACACTCCACAGAGACTCCCAGAGGTGTGCTTTACTAATGTGGTAGGCATTTCCTAACCTAGTCAAGTTGAATATCATGGTTAATGGTCACAGAAAAAAAGAATAGCCACAAAAGTGGCCAACATTCTCAAAATCTGTACATACGGAGCAAGGGTGAGAAAGAAGGTAGCGGCTAGAAAAAAATGTGATCTAAACAAGACGTTGTTTTACTAAAGTGAGGAAACGTTTTAAAACAGTTAATGCTGATGGAAAGAAGTAGTAGAATTGAAGGTAAAGCAGAAAAAATCCTCCTCCTTTCAACCAGTCAGAATGCCAAAAAGATTCAAGAGAAGATCTCTCAGGTGGAAAGATTAGCATTAGACAATTAATTTATGAGAAACTGAGACCGTAAAAAAGGACTAAAAGGATTAATAACTAATAATTGATACTTTGAAATAGGAAAAGGTCCAAAGGGGTAGGGTGATGGGAGGGGAAGGGGAAAGGAAAGAATGGAAAGGAAAAATTGTGAAAAAAGAAAAAAAATGGAAACGAAGTATGTAAATAGGAAAGGGTTTAGGGCTGAAGGGTGCACAGGTAATGGGGAAAAAATGAGAACCAAGATACATCATGTCCAGGTACAAGCACCCAAAGATAAATGTAAATGTATTGTATACCTAAAATGTACCAATAAAATAATTTAAGGAAAAAAAAATTTATATACTGAAATGGAAAGGAGATAAAAGATGGTAAGTGCAGTTGCAAATAACCTGCTTTGGTCTGAAGAAGTTGAAAACTTCTAATAGTTATAATAATAGTTTCCTATTTTCTCCTTCAAGTAGAGGCTAGGAGATATGCTGATGGGTAAAAAGTATACCAACCAGCATGGAGGCTTAAGAGAGTTGGTTGGAAATGTTGCAATAAATAGGGGTGAAGACTAATAAGAAACCAATGGCAGCCCAGCTCAGCTCAGGCCACATCTTATGTCCAGAATTTAGAAGGCCATTACTCTGTGAGTTTGCAAGCTTATCTCCACCATAGTTAAATTTAGGAGCATAAATTCAAAGAAAATAAGCAGTTAAATTCCCTAAGAATTATTTTTTTCCAAGTGGATATTTTAGAAAGACAATAGAGCCATATGACACTCATGCTTTCCATGTAAGGTATATTAAGATAAATGTTACATGACTGTTACTAACAATGCTCTCTCTAAGTACAGAGAGAAGTAAGTCAGTATTGGCTGCATTTGTCAAATAGAACAGTGTAAAATTTTCTGAGATAAATAGGAAGTGGCAGGGTATTCCAGGCCAAAAAAATTTTTTTTTTAAATTCACAGGTGATATTTGGGCACAGTGATCTTTGAGACAGGGAAAAGAGTTCCAGAAATGAGTGCCATTTGTTGAAAAGTAATGTGAACCATATTTGAGAGGTAGGTGTTCCTAAGTCTAAAAAGCTGTAACTGTGTGTATGTAGGCGTGCATGCAAGCCTCTATGTGCGTGTGTGTGTGTGGTGTAAGTAAAAATTTGAAGACATTGGGAATCAAAGCAAACCACTAATAGATTGTACAATGGGGTAGATGGTAAATGAAGAATATATACACATTAAGTCATAGCCTGTTTCAACATCACAATTGAAGTAGACACAATAAATAAATATCCAGTAGTAGGAACAAAAATAAGATAGGCACACTGCTTAACAAAGATCTATAACCAGAAGAGGTGTTTTTGAAAACTCATCATATTGTTAATTTTCTATAAAAGACTTGTTCTTTCCAGTCCTTCAACAAATGTTAAGTAACAGGTACTAAGATAAGAACATAAAACAAAAGAGAAAAAGGGGTAAAGTCTTTGTCTCAGAGGGGTCATATTTTATTGGGAAAAACAGTAGAAAGGAAGCAGGAAAAATATATGGTATGCAACAATGTACTATGTTATTTAGAATATAATAAAGAAAATAAAATATTCAGAAAATAAATGGATCATGCCAGAAGCTAGAGGATGTTTTACAATATTAAATCAGGTGGTCAGCTCAGGCATCGTTATGAGGCTGAGATTTGAAAAAGAGTTGACAGATACAACAAAAAGCCATGGTACAATCTGAGGTGATTACCTATTACTCTGAGTGAAAGGGCAGGTCACGAGCGGCTTTTGAGCAGAACAGGGATTACATGATGTGATTTTGAAAGGACACTACGGCAAGTATGCAGAGGATAGGATGTGCAAGAAAGAAGACAAATGGTGGAGGCTGAGGTAGGAGGATGACATGTTCAAGTCCAGTCCAGGTGACTTACTGAGACCTATCTCAAAATTTAAAAAATCCAAAAATGGGATGGGGATGTGGCTTGGTGCAAAAGCCTTGAATTCAATCCCCAGTGCCAAAAGAGAGAATGAAGGAAGGAAAGGAAAAATGAAAGAGGGAGGGAAGGGGGGGAGAGAGAGAGAGAGAGAGAGAGAATGAAGTAAAAACTTATTCCAAAGTTTTGATCTGTGCTAAAGGATAGATTTACTGTTTATTAAAGTATTAAAGTTAGGAAGATTGTAGAACGGGAAAGAGGATTAGTTGTTTACTTGTGGATTTATGAAGTGTGAGTTGATTATTAGCCACCCAAACAGCTGAATATATGAATTTAGCCTTGAAAGAAAAACCCAGAGTGGAGATCTAAACTGTGGGCATGCTTGTCCTACAGATGAATTTAAACAGAGCATAAGAGAGCTCCGAGGATTGGGCTCCACAGTCCTCTCTAGTTCAGTGGGAGTCTGAGGAAAGCAGCAGTGAAGTGGAAAGAAGCACAGGAGATGGAGACATCCTAAAGCCAAGTGGTAGAAGTTTTCACAAAGAAGGGTGTAAGGAATTCTGTCCAATGCTACTGAGAATTGAAGGCAGATGGGATCTGAGAGTTGACCACTGGATTTATCAACATGAGGATTAAAGGCCAGTTTGACCAGCATATATTGAGAAGTAGAAGGTTTTGGGGTGGGGTGGGGTGTTTTGTTATAAAACAGAAAAGAAAAATGAGGCCTTAGCTTGAGGGGAACATGAAATCAGACTTTCTTTTTAGAATTTAGAATCTATTTCAGCATTTTTGAATGTTGATGAAAAAGATCAGGTAAAGGGAGAAAAGGTGATGACACACACAGGAAGTAGAAAGGGTTACTGTGCTATCTTTTAGTCATAAAGACGAAATAGGACCTAGTGGGCAAGGGTAGAAGCTGGCCTCTGAAAATAGTATGAACATTTCATCGATGAGCCAGGAAAGTGTACAGGTGAAGTTACAGCTAGGTGGTAAGGGTGATGTTGAGAAATTGTGGAAATTATTTTCTGACTATTTCAATATTTTAAGTAAAGTAGAAAATGATTTATAAAGTTTAAAATAATAATGGTACATTGGTAATAAGGTATTTGGGAAGTACTCAGAGCTCAGTTGAGGTTAGTCATTGTGTGCTGCAATATTGACCTAATGACCAAATCATGTACTTTTTTCCTAGACAATTGATTTGTGAGAGCTCAAAAGTAAAATAATCAAGGATTTATATTTAAGAAGCATTTAATTTTTTTCTGGTGACGGTAAGGTAGCCAGAGGCTCAAGGGAGTTGAAGGTACATTCTACAAAGTAAAAACATTTGCTGTGGTTAAGGAGGATAGGGAAAAAATGAATTAGGTGAGAGATAGAAAAAAAAATTGTAAGATTGTTGAACTGAAGGTCCTAGAGGGGCAAGAAAAGTTTATTGTCATACCTAGAATTACTGAGTTTTTCCAGAACCATCTACAGTTTTTAGGCAATCAGTTAGAGGCAATAGTCTTTTAATTCAAGTGTTATAACAGTAAATATCTTAATTTATTTACCAGACTGCTAAATTGAGGCACCAGTGAGTCACTCAGAACTCTTTCCCATAAACAGAAATCTTGAAAGAATGTCTCAATTTTTTTTATGTGCAGAGATAATATGTTATACCCCAAGTGCAGATAATGTCACATACATTAAAGAGGACATGATTTCTCAGAAAAAATTTTCAAGTTTCAACAATATATATTTCTTAAATATTTGTAAACATTTCCTGTTAAAGACAAAATTATGGGTTTTCAACTTTTCTTTATTTAACTCTGATGAACACTTCTATCTTTCCACTGCATATAGACATAAGCATTTTCTGTTTTTAGAATGTAGGCATCATGTCTATCCTTGAGTAAGATAAGAGCGAAAATTAATATAAATTAATAGATGATTAAATAATAATGAAAGAGCTCAGGAAGTGGTACAAGGGTGATAGTTTTTATTCCCTGTTTACTACCTTACAAATGTATGTGCTGCTAGAAATGATATCTAGGATCAAACAATTTTGAGGCACAGAAGTCTTTTTCTTTCAAAAGAGCAGATGACAAAAATCCTGTAAGAGAGTGTAGGAATTGAAAAGCTATTTTTCAGCAATTTTTCAGAGGAATAAATATAAAATCAGAGACGTGTTATGTGGTACTGAATCTCTCAGCTTTTCCTTGCTGTGATTGACACACCCAAGATAAAAGTCCACCCCATTTCCTCTATATCACTTAACACCTACTTCAGGGACCATGAATGAAAATAAAACATAAATATTTAAACTCTAATGGATCATGAGCTTCCTAGGCTAATGATAAAGCCTCTGCTGTTTTTGTATATTGTCACTGACTCTCTAGAGTGAGATATCACAGGATGGCAAGTTGAAGAGGAAAATGATGGAATTATATTATTATAACTTCCCAACTATCATTCTAAACCACCTGATGCCACCAGATTTGAGCAGAGGTTCCTAGAGTTAAGCCTATGGGAAATAATTCTATAGTATCATTTTCTTAATCCTATCTCTCTATTTCCCTATTCTATACAGACATGGTTCCCTTTCCAGTAATAAACCTTGGACATTACTTCAGAATGGACCAGTCAAAAAGATGATATTCTCAGAAAAGTTTCAAATAAGTTGCAGTTGGATACAGGATATGTTGTAGGCACAAATGTCAAGCACATATATTTTATTTTCAAGTTTCTCCTGGAAACTTAGTTTTTGAAATAACAACAACAAAAGGGCAAAAGTATGAAACAATAGTTTTCAGAGACTGGAAAACAGGCAGGGAGGAGAATGATCACTGAGGGAAAGAAAACACATGAGGAGAGACCCAGTACAGATTCAGCTTATTATATGGAGCCATTTCCAGCTCACAGTGTGGGGTAAGGAATAGGACCCAGATTTTTCACTGAGTGGCAGATATGAAGTTTAGCCAGTTAGGAATCCCAAGAATATCACCATTAAAATTCAGCTGCAATTCACAAAGCACAATACCAGAGAGAAAGAACTATCTGGGGATTCAACAGCAGAGAGAGTGATCTGGTGGTCTACCAAGGTTTCATGTTGGGGCTCCAGCTGACCACTCATCAACACATATATTCAAAAAAAATAAAAGAATGGGGCAAGAATTATGAAAACCAAAATCTGAGCTTGTGGACAAAAGCTCAGGGAGCTTCCAGTGTTGGAAGTAGTTTGGTTTTCAAATAGCAGGGAAAAACTTCTCAATACATAGGGCACTGAATAGAGTTTTCAAGATGGTATCGGATTACTAGTAGACTAAATTAGTCCTAAACAAAGATCTATCCTGTATCTACCTAACAAAACCTGGAACCAAGACTTGAAAGGATTAAATCATTTTGGATGTCAAAACCCAAAAATATTTAAAAGAATATACAAAAAGTTCATTCCAGTACTCGAAACTATAATGTTTAGCACCTAATCAAAAATTACTACTAGGCTAGAGATGTAGGTCAGTGGTAGAAAACTTGCTTGATATGTACCACAACCTAGGCTCAATACCCAATATTGCAAAGAAAAAATACATTTCTATACATGCAAAGATTGGATCCATAATAAGAAAAATATCAATCAATAGTAACAGAAGTAGAAATGACAAAGGTGATTGAATTTATATAGAAGTACATTAAAACAGCATTTATAAATATACTTCGTGTGTACAAGAAATTAGAAGACGACAGAACAAAGAGAGAGGCACATGCAGGTATACATACATACATAGATATACACATGCAAATGTCCGAACTATACTTCTTATGATAAAAATGCACTAAATAAGATTAACAGAAAATTAGACACCACAGAACATAATAGTGATCATCAAGACACAGCAATAGAAAACTGCACAGAATGAAACAAAGAGGAAAAAAACTGCAGCATCAATAAGCTGGGAAACACCCAGAATCAACCTGATGCACAGGTGAACAAAGTTTCACATGGAGAGTATAAGGGAGGAGGAGTTGGAAAATTGTATTTAAATAATGACTGAAAATTTTCCAAAGTTTATAAAAACTATAAACATACAAAACTCAAATCCTCAACTAAATACATGCAGAAGAACCAAGGAGAAAAGTACACTGTGATACATCATAA